CCGATGATGTACGTCATTGACATGCCACAGGCTATCGCCAACTGTATATCATCCACCAGGTAAAAAAAGGAAGTTATTTTTGATATACGAAAGGATGGCCACAAGATCCTCCAATGAGAAGATGTGATTTGTATGATGCGAGAACAAGTCAGGAACGATATGTGGGATGCCTAAAATGACATCAATAAAACCTAGAAAGAAGCAGCCTGAGCTTGTGGATCATACAGAGGATCAATGTAATTCGACCTCAGGTAGAGACTAAAGCCGAAGCGACAAGTTATGAAGCTTCTAATTACCATACAGAGCGAAACAAATCCTCCCCTTAAATTCTTCGGTGTTACCTCTGCAACATACACCGGTACCTGTGCAATTAAATGCACAATCAATCAACATTGAATCATTGGACTTACAAAGCTGTATGATCTGCAGAAATTGCATTTGTTACCACATATGAGGCAAGACCAACTCCAAATCCCAGCAATAGTCTTCCAAGGTCAAGAGACCAAGCACTCTTCAAGAAGTTTAAAGTTTGTTAAGTATTATCAAGAGCATATAGGAAACCATGCCCACAAAAGAACAAGGTTCTCCATTGGACATTAATGTCTATTTCCTTGATAAAACCTAGGGCCAGACAACAAATTTTTGAAGAAATTTGCCAGTGGAGCAAGCCAAGGCAAAAAGTAAAATGGTTAATGAAAACTAATAATGGACCAATCGGCACATAAACATGGTACCTCTGAAAGAAATATGGCGCACCATCCGATGATGCCTGATACATCGGTAACCCACATAGCCTGTGCAACATTATCAGCAAAAGTTGAATAAAAAGTTTCAAACAATTTGTGACACTCGAAGTTGAGATATTTCAGTGGTAAACCAACACTTAAAAGGTATTGGCCAGAACACTTACGCCTTTGCGGCCGATTAGGTCAGCTATTTTACCACTGCATAGTGCACCAAGAAGTCCTCCAACCGTCAATATTGAACCAAAAACCGAATACTGCATCTCACCAGCACTTCACTTCAGTTAACCAAAGAAAATTTTGGATTACACTAATAGGTGCAAACATATTCACGCAGTTGGGTAAAATTTTATCGTGTCTTTTAGATTTCGGTCACAGGAAATTGACAGAATATGTAGAGCTTGTTTTGTAAGAAATGAAACATTCAAAGTAAACACCATAGGCATGATCGGTAGAACCAACATGTGAATTCTCACTCACGCTGCAAAATATTTTAGTCTATTTAAGCAATGCTTCCATTCACTTTGTTTACACTTTTAGATGGATTACACAAAACATTAAATACGTTGAGAGAGCAAATAGTGATGGTCACTGACCTCTGCCAAAGAAAGGCCCAGTTCATCCATAATTCCTGATTCAGCAGGAGATGAGTAAGACACCTGAAAAATCATATCTTTCAGCCAATGAGACGGTAACTAAGAGGAGAAACGCCAAGTCTTGTTCTACCCAATCAAGCCAATATCACGTATCAAGAGACCGTTGCCACACTGACTCCAAGACAACAGGGCAAGTTTGATAAGCCATCCAGAGAATTAGTTGGTCGATGTATGGTCGATGTAATATTCTTTTCCAGATCAGAGTTTGCTTTTCCAGATGAGAGAAACAGAACAAAGACACAGGCATGACTAGGGATGAAAAAATAGGCATACAAAAGGACAGACAATTCGTCCTAGTAGCAAAACTTTAGGATAAGCAAAGTTAGTACAGCATTTCCGAAGACGTAGGAGCCGCAGACAGCGAAAAATGCACTGAGAACGAGGACCACTGTGATTCTGTCAGGGGCCACTCCTTGTCCTTCAAGAAGAGGGATCCTCGTTTCTCTTCCTGGCGTCTCCATGTCGTTCTTGTTTGATTCTTCCTCTTGAAACGCTCGCTCACTCATTCACTCACACACGGAGAGAGTGAGTAAGAGAGACATTTGAGACCTCTAACAGTTTATGTGAGGAAAGCTGAAGAAAAGTAGGAGGCATCCTTATCTTTCAAACAATGTCATCCCTTTTTGCGTGGGGACGAGCAGCACAAGCGGCTAGGTAAATTAGTCGGAAGTAAGGAAAGGAAATCGGACACTGGATTTATGTGATTCGATCCAAGTATCAAAACCTATGGTCACAGAGAGAGAAGTAAGAAATTCCAGCATAAAAACAAGCCATACAAAGGAAATACAGTTGTTCGAGCACTCAAAACACTCTCTTGGTGTTTTTGAGTCCTCGATTACACCTAACAACTCAATGGTTAACTCACATAATTCCTAATGAGATCTCACTCAAGGAATTACATAAATTCTTATCACAAAAATAATTACCATGAGTGTAATTACAACGAAAGATTTCTGTCTGCCGAGTATTTTTCTCACTTCCAAGAGTTCCATTTATTCTAGTCCTGTCATCATTGCCCTACCTACCTCTGTCTTCTTTGTGGGCGGAATTTAACAGATGAGTGGTTCACATGGTCCCATGCTTCAACGTTGCTTGGGGGCTCCTTCAATTGATGTGCAAATGGAAAGAGAAAAACAAAGCCCCCGTTCATTTATCTTCTTCAATTTTTCTTGCATCTAACATGTCAGATCTTGACTATCACTTTGTTCGTGATTTAATCAGCAAGAAGCATTTAGAAGTTCGCTTCATTCCTACTCAGATGTAAATAACTGATGTCATGACAAAGCCTCTATCGATATCCTGATTTCTTATTTTAATCTTTTACAACATATGCTCGATTATTACCTTTTGTAAAATATTTTCAATTGTAATTCTCCCGCTCACGTACATACTATAAATATAATGCAAATCTCAACACCGATAGATGTGCGATCAAATTCAGATTCATATTCTTGCATGCTTCCGGCGCCCCTTCATTTAATGAGGCGTGTAAGAACCCCAAAGTCAAAGACAAAGCTTGGACATTCACCAAAGAGTTACTTGCTTTAGCGTGGATGTGTTTGTTTCACGTGGTCAATTTTGAGACATATTTCAACACGGCCAATAAGGCATGAACAATGAAATTGATGGACATTATGATATCAGAGGGTGATGTACTCTTCATATCCAACTCTCATCTTTCAACATATTTGAACTGGGAAATAAAGCTTCACCCAGGGAGATCATCGGAAGGAATTCAGAGTCCGAACTAGTTAGACTCACCCTCACTCAAAAGCATAACAAATGAGTTATGGGCTAATTAAGAAATATTAATACTCCTTTTTACACCACATCCCTAATTTGGAAATTATTTTTCACAATAACGTCACATGTTCACCTCAACAAATAGTGAGTGCCTATTGTTTTAGGCCCACTCTGCTTAATCTTGATATCCCACCGCACCAACATTATTTCAACTCAAATCTCTACCTTAGCCCAGCCAAGTTTGGCAAGAGCACGACATTGCCTTGACTCGTCCTCAATCGCTTTAGTACGGCCAAGCTTAGCTAGATCACACTATCCACCACGTCAATGGGGAGTCACATCCAATTCGACTCACATTCACTCAAAAAGCTCACACTAATGAATCATAAGCCAACTAAGATATACTAATGGCTCGATTTTATACCACATTAGACTTCTTTCGCATATCATCCTCAAACATGCACCTCAATATTTTTTCCGATGTGCATTTACCTTCCTTTCTTTCTTGAAAAGGAGATACTTTTGCTGTTGCACCAAGCAGGGTTTGACTCTTAGGTGTTGCCTGTATTAGTTGTTGTAGTTGTTGTACGCGTGTTTGAGAGAGAGATAGGAGAATGTTAGAGTTCTCAGCTAAAAGTAGGAATATCGACACCCTTTGATCTCCTCATTTCACCTACATGCTTCAGGCTTCAGCTCTTGGAGAGTTCTTATGATTTCTATACTGGATGAAAGCTGTCATGAAGCAGCTTTGGCAACGTACATGACGAAGCAAATCGATGTTTTGGATCATCAGTTCCTTACAAAACAGAACGATTCTGATATATCAAAATACATTGCTAACAGGGTCTTCAACCTTCTATCTATCTTCTGGTGTAACATGCAATCTTAGCGTAAAATTATGATACAAGACGGAAACAGATTTTTCAAGCTGTACCCGGAATTTCCTGAGACTAAAGTCCCGCTGTTCTTTCAATTTGGTCTCTGATTATTGAAGTTGCTCTGGTTTTGACAAGATGCAGAGGAGGTGAGTGTTAGGCACACGATTCTGGTCTTGGAGCAATCTGGTTGGATCCTTTGAGGCATTTGAGTCTTTGGGACATCTTGGGATGGTGTCCGGGGTTATGGGGTTGTGATGTATGCTTTGGCACATCATGTTGCTTCAGGTTCAGAGCGTTTCTTGGGACACAGTTGTAGGATTGATACGGAAAACGTGAGCTTGTACTGGACGGAGTTCATTCACATTGATTTTGTGCTCAATACGACGACTTTACTGATTGAAAAAAGAAAAACGAAATTAGTCTCTAATTCAGATGAATGCTACCGGAGAAAATGCGAGCATAAAGATGGATGATTTTATAGATCATTATAGTTATTTTCCTTTTTTTGACATTTCTTGATTCGGACTTCTGCCACGCTCTCCCAACATACCTTACAAAGAAACCTCAGTCATGTTTCATCTACAATATAAGAAAGCTCATCTGATTGAGAGTTGGTTTTTCATATGAATCTATTGCATTGTATTAAATGCTCAACGCGATGATAAAACCCCCGTAATGAGTTGTGTGTATCACGTGGTAAGCTCAGCTCACAACAATGTGAAAATGAACATTCGAAGATGATCAAGACAGTGGACCTAAGATGCCAAGCTCGGTTCGCAACAGTTCGCGCCAAAAAGTGGACCTACAATAAGAATTAGGAAAGGGGCATTTGGCCACGAGAACGAACCTTTGGATTTTAATTATGCACTGTCCTCGGATGGGTCAATTGTGTAAGAAATATTACTGATGAGTATATGGCATGGGTTTGATTTATATCATCAAATGAGAGCCACTAGCTCAAGTTTAGACTCCGCAGTTACTTGATCCAAAAGGTCGGTTGATATTCGGTAAGGCAACTTGGTAAAGACAGGCCCTTTCTTTGAGCCTTTATGACTATCCTGATGATGAATCTTCTAGGTGCGTGCTCCTATAGATTATGACAAGAAGTGTTTCCTCGGAAAGAATTTCACTCACCTTGTCATTGAAGGTTTCTAACTGTGTTACACTGATTTTTTGCAATTTCTAGGATTCTTCATTGAGTCTTGATGGCTCAGAATTCAGACTGTAGGTTCTTCTCTTCTTTTTCTATGGTAGTCTTAAGGGTCAGCAACACTTCTGCAGCTACAAGGAGATCAGGAGGTAATGGGATTTCTCATGCTGAGATTGGTCATTTGGTCATCTTGTGTGGAGTCTTGAAGAATGATTTATTTAGGCCTTTCTCTGCTACCATTGTAGTGCTATCTGCATTCGTTGTCATTGACATTGTCATTGTCCAGATGAACTGCTTTGGACTCACGAAGAAGTCTATAATAGTTATGTATATCATGTGTTGATCACGAATTGGTTCATTTTTTGCCCTTCCTTCCCAGTTACTGTCAGATAGGCCAGTACATAAGTCGTCCAGGATTTTCCAGAAACTAAAATCGCACTGCTGTTTTGATTGGTCTATGATTTAGATTAATGCTATACCAGACAATGCTTAGAGCAAAGGGATGAAAATAGTCTGGATAGACTTTACAGATTATAGCTCTCCTTTTTCTTATTTACACTCCTTGATTCAACCGGTCTCTCTCTCGTGTTTTATCTACCTTCCTGTCGAAAAGTTTATCCTTTGATTTATGCCTCCGACTCAGGGATCTTCTCATCAAAACTGTCATTCTTATTGGTGATGGAGGCATGTATTTCTTCCAGCGTCAGCCCCTTAGTCTCGGGAACAAGTTTCGCGATAAATATAACACCGACCGCGCAAATGCTTGCGTATATAAAGAATGTTCCTGAAGCAATAGCAGAGAAGACTGAAATAAGCAACAGAGGAGCATAAAAAAAATGTTCCGAGAGAGATTTCGAAGAGATGCACCTGCTGAGCTCCATTCAAACAAGTAGCTGAAAGTATATGAGATAAACCAAGATCCTACCCAGCTGACCAAATTAACTAAGCTACCAGCTGAGCCCTTTACATTTATCGGGAATAGCTGCCAATGAGGAACCACACCGTTTAATGTAAACCATTTGCATTGTTGAATGAAAATTTCAGCCACAAGAAATCAATTGCAAGTCTGACGACTATACCTCCGACATTATAATCCAAGGAATTCCTCCCATCCCGAGTTCAAAAGAACCTAGAAATACCTGAGTGAAGAGATAGAGAAAGAGAGAGAGAGAGAGAGAGAGAGAGAGAGAGAGAGAGAGAGAGAGAGAGAGAGAGAGAGAGAGAGAAATGAGCAGTTGATGCATTTTATTCAATTTGGAGAGAAAAGGAAGGACTAAGAACAAAAGAGGATGTTAAGTGGCGGTACCAAAACTCCAACAAGCACCAAACTGGAAACAAGCTCTGCTCCAACGCGAAGGTCCTGAGGGAATACACAATGCTTCAGAAAAATCTACTTACCATTAGCTAAAGTGGGATATTGAAACTAACCCTGCCTGTGAAACTTTTTTCATGTCAATTGCCAGTGGATAAACTAATAACTCCATTTGGATACGAAGAATGAACCTGCAAGAAGAATGACAATCCTGTGAAGACACATCCCAAGCACGCTCCAGCTGCAGATACCTGCAAAGAGAAGTAGTGATTCAGTACGCCAATTTATGACTCGCAAATGGAGGGGAAAAAGGAGGAAACAGAGCACGGGTCTTAGATTTATGCTAACCAGTAGAAGTGGGCACCTTCCAGACTTGTCTATCAGTAGTACTCCCAAAGTTGTACTTAGAATCTGCATACAAGTATTTGCAGTCTTAGGAATGTAACAACAATCACATTGGCACTTAATTTAAAATCCAAGATCAGAGTCAAAACCTGCACGACAGCTGCTACTATGGTTCCTATTGTTGTTGAAAAACCTATAAGGGGAGTTAATTTTTATAAAAGTATTCCTTCTTTTTAATTTGAAGTGAAATTAGCCGCTTATTGGTATAATTACCAGCTGCTTCAAAGATGGCACTTGTATAGAACACAAAGCCATTCAGGCCTCCACATTGCTGAAATATCATCAGCCCAACACCAACCTAGAGGAATCTTCAGTCAGGCATAGACGTAAAAAGGACATAATTTCGTCAAGAAAGGGGCTGGCTTGCACAGAAATAGGGATGCTCACAATTAATGGATGAGCATATTTCCACTGGAGAAGTTCTGCAATTCCACCCTCAGAAATGCAACGGAGGTGTTCCGTATAGTCCTTAAGTGCAAACAGAAAAACATACAATGCTCATTTAAGTGGTCAATGATCTTCTCATTTCAACTGATGCACCATTAATAAATAACTAGCATCAGATTCATACTTGGATATCCGATGCCTCTTGAGAAATATTTGCATTCTTTCCTCTCAGACGCTGGAGAGCTGCTTCAAACTCTCTTTCTCTACCAACTTTTGCCTGTAGACCGTTAGGAATACTATTTCAGTGCTCTGCTAGATCTCTGTAAGCTTAAATAACTTCCTCTAATTGTGAATAGCCAAAATCAGATTCAGAGAGAATCCCAGACTCGATATGTACACTCACCAGCCACCTTGGAGATTCGGGAATGAAAAATAAACCAAGAAGCTGTAGCAGACATGGAAGAGTTCCTGTGATGGATCACATCATAGCAGATTTCATGAAACTGTGCCTTACATGCTTAATTCAATCGCAACATGGGAGACTGAAAAGGTTACCTATCAAAGCTAGAATGCGCCAGTTGACGAGAGAACCAATGAGAAACATGAATGCTTTCCCAAGACCTATCATCAACTGTTAAAATGGATTAAGCAAAATCATATGGACTTCAGATGATCCTGAAAAGCAAGATAAGCATGTCAAAGGTACCTGATTAAGAGATGTGTATCCTCCCCTAGCATTCTTGGGTGTTATTTCTGCAACATATACAGGTACCTGTGCGGATATGGATTATTAGATTGGTGGATCAATTAGGTTAATCTGCTAAATATATATAGTTTGCAATGATTGTTACCACATAAGAGAGAAGCCCGATTCCACAGCCCATCAGTAGTCTTCCCATGTCAAGCCACCAGACACCCTTTCAATAGCAACACACCATATTTAGTATAGATACACTGAATCGAATCGAACAAATAACTATGCATAGCTAGTTGAGCCAACTAAACGGTCAACATAGATGTCTTGGCTAACCATTAAATATACAAAACACCCATCATTTTGGAGGAACATTTCAAGAGATTTCTCTCAGATGTAAATGGATGACAGCTTCAAGATGTCACTCATGCATAGCAATTCGATATGCTTAGGAGATGGTATAGATGCATCAAAGTCGGTCATAAATTTCTTGTCTGAGATAGATTAAGGATCTTATAAATAATTTTCTTCCTGGAACTTGTGAAGATGGGGCAAGTTGGTAGAAAACCCTACCAAAGGCAAGTCAACACACTCTAACATTCATTTCCTTCAGACTGCTTGGGATAAAATGGTTCATCATGATTTAAATTACTGCTCAGTTATACAGGTGCCATGGAGCAAGCTTCAAAGAGTTGGAAAATAGAAGAAACCTTTGCAAACAATATTGCAAGCCACCCCGTGATGCAGAACAGTTCTGATGCCCACATAGCCTGCTTTGCCAGATTCAACGGTGCAAGTACTCAAAAAGGTTGTTCACCATCAAAGATACGTGGTGCTGAGAGAAAGATAAAATATACTTACACCCCTTCGACCCAGTAGATCTGCAACCCTCCCACTTGGTATTGCTCCTATCATTGCTCCAATTGTCAATGTTGACCCAAAAACAGAATACTATATAATCCAAGACATGACATGGTTAGAACCTATGTGAACAGGATTTCTCAGACAAGGTTCTGAAATGTTGACAATATCGATTAGAGAAGAAGAAAATTGACTGATTTAGTTCTATGCCCATGATTATCCAATTAGCAGCCTTTTCTAGGTTAAGTTCAGTTGATTCGGGAGCTTTCAATAAAACTTTTAAATGCTTCAGCATGATCTAGACGATGCCAGAAAGAGAAAACTGTCGTGAACCTTTTAAAGTCCCCGGCAACATTGTATGATCTGAGGCCGTCTCTCTAAGTCATGATCCTAACAAAGTGGGCAGACCTCATCGACACAAGCAACCAACAAAGATTCACTTCCTCCATACATAGACAACTCAGCATTCGAGACTTCTGCTTGCATATTTGCAGTGTCTTTCCAAATAGAACTGCAAATTTGTTGCTGAATATAGAATGGACACAGATGATCTTAGTCCAAGAAGATTTCTTGATGTGAACTACTCCGTACAGCCAAATTCAAGGATTCTAGCTGGTTTCACAATGTAGGCCCACCATACGATTGAGGCATTAGCCGTCTGATTTGTACATTAAATACGACTAAACAAGATTCTGAAAATGATAACCAAAAGGGAACTTTAATATGGTCCCATCAGTCTCATTCAGTATCCTATAAATATAGATTTGGCAACACCTCCATTTTTTCTCTTTGCCCAGAAGCAACACCCGTTGCTCATTTTTCCTGGCCAAAAAAGAAAAGAAGCGATACCCCTGCTGTATTCAACTATTTCAAGTTGATTTCCGGCCAAAGGGAAAATAAAAATGAAGGTTGATAAGTAACCAAAGCTGAATATTACTAAAGCGGCATGAACTTTCCAAGATTCTGTGACCCTTGTGACGTGACTTCCTGGGAAGAGTTTGAACCTCCTGCTATTGCGGATTCTTTTCCTCTTTCAATTGGGAGAGACGGCTGAGTCTCAACTTTCTAATTATAAAGAGCGGTACTATACAAATAGGGGGTAATTGCTTCGCACCCGACAGTGGTAAGCGAATTTACAAACGCTAAAAAGTTCTTGGTGAACCTGTCAGAGAGGCTGAAAGAATCAAACATTACAGGTGGTCAGAAACGTAATCCCATCTCCAGAAGGAACGACACTGTGGGCGAAGATACAGTTGAGAAGAAGAAAGAGCATGGGAAAGATGCGGTGGAGTTCGTCTCGGAACCAGGAAACTCCAGGCTAGAGAAAAGGTAAGCTCTTATTGAAGCTAGGAAAAAGAATTCCCGGCGTAAGTTTTGTTAGTTTAGTGCTCGATTAACAAAGCCTGAAAGGAGAGAAGCTTCGTGCTAGGACGAGAGGTAGCAAGAGTGCTGCTCCGAACAGGAAGATTTTTCCTATTTTCCGTGGGCAGAAATTCTTCATCTCGCCGGTCAATTTCAAGTAGCATTTCGGGAACTATACGATCTTTTCCCCTATTGTATTGAATCAAATAAAAAAAAAAAAAAAGAGATCAGTTCTAAGGCCCCCTATTGTTTGATCTAATATTGACCCGGGCCCCGACTTTTATAGGTCCCTGATTGACCTCCCGTAGTGGTCCTCACTTTAAATACAGGGGAGCGGGGCCATACTTGCTAAGTGTGCTCCTCTTTCGTCGAGTTCCTGGGCTAGGATTTCGCAGTAGCGAGAGCAAGGGGACCGATAGCAACACCTCGCCAATTTCCCGCACCTTCGTGTGGTGATACCCGACTATCTGATCCCGATCCATCACCCCTCTATACGATAGTCTGGATGTTCGGTAAAAGCATAGTTTCCGTTAGTCCTGGTCCACCTGGGTAATTTATTAACACTAGAATTAAAGGATCGTAACCAACTTGGCTCCTGACTTCCTGACCCTCAAAAGTACAGTGAAGATTTTTCTTAATATTGCATGATTTAAGTATCTATATCGGTTATGAATTATTCAAAGCAGAGGAAATGCATCTCCCTGTCTATCCTGGACGACAAAATTTCTCATTTACCTCAGATTAGACATGGCAACACTAAGAGCAAAGAGTTCTATGTTGGTCTATTGATGTCATATTCTGCCTTGCAAAATGATCTGACGGATAAATTCCTGCTTACTTCTGCTAATGAAAGGCCTAGATCATCCATGATTCCCCTCTCGGCAGGCGATGAATATCCGACCTACAAAAACAATCAGAAAATCGCTTCATTAAATGTTTTTAAGCTCGTGCCGCTCGGTACTCAGCTCAGTGGCGCCGTGAGAATTCGATGAACTCTGGTGCGAGGACAGCAGTGCTCGAACTTTCACAGTACAAAAGTCTAAGGGTACAAAAAAAACTGCAAGATGACAGATCAGGAAAATCTATTGATCATGATACAAAAGTAAACAAATATTAGGGAGGTTATGAGAGTAAGAAACTGGAACATATTCTTCATGCCACCCGAATTTGGATTTTCGTTTCGAAAAAAGATCCCTTCGGATCCAAGCCTTTGAAGTGGTATATGACGTATCAAACTTGTCATCACGCACCATCTGGAATCAACAATATCCTCAAAGTCAAAAGGGACTGTCCTAAACTTGATTTTCATATTCATTCGTATATTGCACATCGTTTTCATGTGTAGTAGAAGCCCCAAAAAGCTGATTATATAAAACATGAATGCATTAACGCGCCTAAGGATCCTCACATAAAAAAACAGGAGCAGACAACAACTTCAAATAATAATAAAATCAGGCCTGCAATATCGAGAAGAATCTACGTGAGATGGTAATATACTAATGGCATTCACCTTTACAACATACTTCTAGGTGAAGGAAAAGGGGTTCATTGAATGTTAGGTAAATCAGTAGAGACCTTTGGCGAATTGCAATGATCATACTTGTAGAAGCCATGGATGAGAAAAATTTAATCACAAGATGTTTTGGCCCTGTAAACGCCAAGATACCAGTTGGATACTTTAATAATTAACCACAGTTTCAGTTTTTCTTTGTTTTTTGGTCGGAACCATAGTTTCAGTTTACCAGCTTAAGCTCTGACTGATTTGAAAATGACAAACCATGCTTCTATCTTCCACATAAAGCTTTTTACGTGGATTTGCAATGGTTTTCCCTAATTCTTCCCTGAAGAAATAAGGATAAGACATCAAACCCATGCCGAAACCGAAACACGTTCGGTTTCGAGAAATGCTTAGTTTATAAATGAAAGTGAAGAAAGTGTCCAAATCCATGTTTCTATTTTCTTGAAGGTATGTTTGGCATACGAAAATGAGGATTCTCTTTCGAAACGAAGTTGGCAAAAAATTGCCCGGATATGCCATTTTCATTAGCTTGAGAGTCAGAGAGAGAGAGAGAGAGAGAGCAATCTTGCAGAATGAAAACAAAGGAAATTAAAAATTTAGAAAGCACCAAAATAGCACATTCATTCTTCAATCTGGGAAATGAAAAATAAAAAAAATGAGATAACAACCATCGCAAGAGGATTCTAATTTCTGTTCCCATTTTAACACAAAAAAGCCCAGTTGATCATAACTTTGCACGGAGTCCTGGAATAGCAAGAAAGAAATGCCCAAGCTTATCAGCTCCCTAGATAGGAAAATCACCATATCAACTGGTACTTCATCCAGCAAGAAGAAAGAATAAAAAGAGAAGCAATTTTCCTTGAACCAACAGCAGAGAAACAAGAGAAACTATCGAGACTCACCGCATTTCCAAAGGCATAGGAGCCACAGACAGCAACCAAGGAGCTGAAAAGAACCACCGAATTCCCCGAAGAAGAAGCAGAAGGAGGAGGAACACTTGCAATGACTGATCCGCCATCTTGGCACGTCCCCGACTCTCCATCTTCATCGAGTCTTGATGCTCTCGAAAGCAGTGGCTGGTTTGCTGATCCCGGCCCTTCCATGGACGTCTCTGCAGATGGGTTTTGTCTCACGCTTCTCTTCAGCTCACGCACGCAGTTTTCCAGGGAGAGCGACACACACACACGCACAGAGTGAGTGAAAGAGTCTCACGGTCGGTTCGCGCATACGCAACTTGGGGAAACACCGACGTTATATTTGTCCAAAGAAAGCTCGAAAAAACAAAGGCTTTTCTCTCGAAGCGGAGTATCATTCATCTAATATCCCCCTCTCTGTCCTATCAAACGAACCACGTTTCTATATTGTTAGTGCATGGTGGTTGGGTGGGTCAATTGTGCAAGGGATATCCGACCAAAAAGATTGTGCAGGACATTTTTGTTTTTTTCGTAACACAAGCGCATAGGCATAGAGATTTGACTACCTAGAAATCCATATATCATCTTATAAGCGCGGTAAGCCAGACGTATGACCTATGAAGGTGGCCTACATACAAAGCATCTTGCACGCAGTTGGTGAATTATGAACAAGTGACTTCGATTTCATAAGCCGGAAATCTTTCGATACCCCCAACTTACTTGCACCAACCTTCAGTTAATATCTTTTTTTTTCTTTGGTAAGCTTTTGTCGAAAGATATTCCTTACTCTCACTGTATTTTAATTCAATAAAAAGAGCTCACTTATTACTTTTCAACATTGGTTGCCTGGACTAAATAAAAGTCAAAAATTACTTTCGTTTTGGCCTTTTATACTAAAATCTCGAGTACGATTCAAGTTTTTAAATAATATAAAAATTTACGTGTGCATCAACGTATCAATATTTTTATATTATGAAAGTTTCGGGTCCTCAAAATTAAAGAAATTAAAAGGGTGTGTGCAGCGAGACTTGTAAGAAGTAAAGTCAAGAACATAAGTTAATCCAAATAAACTCAGATTTGACTTTGCTGAATATCATCGTTGTTGAAAGATCTAGGCATATCTATTAAAGTAACAGGGTGAAGAATAGTAAGATAATGATGTGGGATGCTTGGAAATATAGTTTGAATTTTCTTTTTATTCTTAATGTTAGTCGCGTTATCGGGTACTCAAAAACTCCAAACTTTTCATAGTGATGTTTCATATTGAGCCGAAACTAAAAAGGGCCAATTCTCGCTCTTCTCTTGGTTTGTAAATCTCGAAAGCAAATGTAAATACTCTTAATCTTAAAGTTATTAAAAAAAATCGATCCCACGTCTATAATTCATTCATTTGTCATCACGGATAGATGAATAAAAATGTCGCAATCGGACGTAAAAGCATCAATTTCGTGAAGTTCAAATTTCCCTGTGAGGATCTAGCAATGAATGGTGCCTAACCCATGACTTTATCTGTCAATCTTCCATTATGTCATGCTAGGACTATGCTTAGCAATTTTTGACCCGTCGGTGGCCCACACTTGCACTTTGGTCCAGCACCACCATTTTGACCCACCACTGATGATTTTTCATCATCCGGTTCCACCAAATATAAAGGGGTTTGTGAGGCAATTTAAGCTCAACTAGCGTTCTTGGACAGAAAGAGGAAAGATTTCTGAGCTCTTGAAGGACCAAAAATCAGGTTCGAACTAGGTTGATCTTTTGGTGGGGGTGGGGACGACTGCAAGGTGTGGACGAGAGATGGTGTCCACAGAAATAATTAAATTATTAACTTCAACAAGGAAAATTAAATCATGGACTTTTGGAAAGTGCCCTAATTTTACTTCTAACTTCTAGGGTGAACAGCAAATTCAAGGAAATATCTTTCGAATGCATAAAAAACGACTCATAAATATTCCGGCCAAGACAATTCTTTCCTCAAATGTAAATATTTCGAACTTAGATCCGAAAATGTCAATTGAGCTTCATCAAGTTCAATAATTGAGTACAATATCTGATTATGATAATAAAATGTCAAAATTCTTTGACTCTCTCTTCTCTAGAAAACGCTTCGAGGGCTTTGATAGCTTAATCTTAAATCGATCATGATGAACTTTGGATCCTCTTCATCAGCTGAATCTGACTTGAGGACCTTGATGGCTTATCTCTAATTAAACATCATGAACTTCGATTTCTCTTCATGAAATCTGAAGACCTTGAGTGATTGATCTATCAAGTTGAAGACGATTGAGGTTGCTTCGCATTCAGATTCAGTTTCCAAAGAAGAGGAGCCTTTTATCCCCCATATTGGTTTAAGATTTTCCATCCGTAGATATCCAATCTACTTCAAGTTTCAATTGGATAAATGTCAATTTAAGTTATGTAATTCAATAATTGTCGAATAACATATCGCTAAATTAAAATTCATGAACTTATCTCTCATTTGATATATTTTCAAAAAATATCTCAAATTTCAAATTAAGTGGATTTTGGAAATTAATTATTATTATTTTCGATTTTCGATTGACGAATTTCCTTCAAATGGTATAAGCTATATTCGAAATAAGTGAAATTTAAAGAAAGTGCATCTTAAAGAAGGAAACAAAAGTAAATGAAATATAACTTTAAACAAGTTGCAACTTTTATTTTTTTTATTGTAAGGTTTAAAATTAGTGAATATTAGGTTAAATTTATCTAAGTAACAAAAGAAGTTATCCTTCAAATTACTTTAGTTTGGTTTTAAATTGAATGGATAAATAATATAACTTCAAATCCAATGCCGGTGGAGGTCACTGGCCATTGCTGACATCCCGTGACCGGTGGAGGGAAATAGGAGAAAAAAGAAAAATCCACAAAATTTAAAAATAAATTGCAAAAATCGTCCACGTCAACACCGGTTGTGTCGCGTGACAGTGATTTCCGGCAAAAATTAATAACTAAATTGGCAAATCGTGAAAAAATTTAAGATTAAATTAGCCGTTGTACACAATATATATGACTTTTTGGACAATTATCCCTTAAAAAATAAGGCATTTCCTTCTTATGATTTTAAATTTAAATTTAAACTTAACGAATGATGGACATTTAAGGATGACAAATCACCGAACTGATGCTAATTGGATGCACGATCATGCCAGATCGCTTACAACGTGGCAATCATACATCCCGCATGGCGGCCGCGGGAGCGAACACTCTCTCTTGCCCTAGCTAATTATATGTAATAGAACAGATTTGGCAGTCCATCTATGCCTTCGCTTGGGGCCATGGATTGTTTTTACAGCCGACCAGTAGACATTCCAGGGGAAAATTACCAAAAAAATCCTAAACTTTTTGCAATTGTACCAATTCAGTCCTAAACTTTTTTTTTTGTCAATTCAATCCTAAACATTTTGCAATTGTGCCAATTCAATCCATCCAGCCACTTTTGGCCGGCCGGCGCTGACGTGGCCGCCGGCCGGTGTCCACGTGGCAATATTTTAATATTTTTTTTATTATTTTCGAATTTTTTTCCTTTTTTCTTTTCCTTCTCCCCCCCGCTGTCCGGCCAGGGGGAGGCTCGCCGGCGAGGGCCCGGCTCCGGCGAGGCGAGCCGGGCCTCTCGCCGCCGGGCGAGCTCCGCCTCGCCGGAGCCGGGCGAGGCTCGCCTGCCGGCGGCGAGGGCCCGGCTCGCCATGGTTGGGCGAGGGCCCAGCTCCGGCGAGGCGAGCTCGCCATGGCTGGGCGAGCTCGCCCAGCTCCGGCGAGGCGGAGCTCGCCTTGGCTGGGCGAGCTCCGCCCTCGCCCAGATCTGGCGAGGCGGAGCTCGCCATGGCGAGGCGAGGCGGAGCTCGCCCGGCTCCGGCGAGGCGGAGCTCGCCTTGGCCGGGCGAGCTCCGGCGAGGCGAACCGGGCCCTAGCCCCCAGCGGGCGAGCTCCGCCCTCGCCGCCGCTAGGCAAGCCTCGCCCGGCTCCGGCGAGGCGGAGCTCGCCCAACCAAGGCGAGCTCCGTCTCGCCGAGGCCGCGCGAGCTCGCCTTGGCCGGGCGAGCTCCGCCTCGCCCGCCATGGCGAGCTCCGCCTCACCGGATCGGGCGAGGGCGGAGCTCGCCCGGCCAAGGCGAGCTCGCCCGGCTAAGGCGAGCTCCGCCTCGCCGGAGCCGGGCGAGCTCCGCCTCGCCTCGCCATGGCGAGCTCCACCTCGCCGGATGCGGGCGAGGCGGAGCTCGCCCGGCCAAGGCGAGCTCCGCCTCGCCGGAGCCGGGCGAGCTCGCCCGGCCATGGCGAGCTCGCCTCGCCGGAGCTGGGCCCTCGCCCAACCATGGCGAGCTGGGCCCTCGCCGCCGCTGGGCGAGCCTCGCCCAGCTCCGGCGAGGCGGAGCTCGCCCAGCGGCGGCGAGGGCCCAGCTCGCCTCGCCGGAGCTGGGCCCTCGCCGGCGAGCCTCCCCCCTGGCCGGACAGGCCAGGGGGGAGAAGGAAAAGAAAAAAGGAAAAAAAATTCGAAAATAATAAAAAAAAATATTAAAATATTGCCACGTGGACGCCGGCCGGCGGCCACGTCAGCGCCGGCCGGCCAAAAGTGGCCGGATGGACTGAATTGGCACAATTGCAAAAGGTTTAGGACTGAATTGACAAAAAAAAAAGGTTTAGGACTGAATTGGCATAATTACAAAAGGTTTAGGACTTTTTTGGTAATTTTCCCGGCAGTCCAGTCAATGAGATTGTCTTCTTCTTCTTCCCAAGACACTGAGCATTGGCAAGGACTAAACCCCGAACCCTGACGACGAACGTCGGAACTGATCTTCAACGCTTCTGATGTTCAGCTTCTCCTCCCAACTGCAAGTCATTTGACTGTGTCTGAAAGTCAAGAAATGTTCTCGTTCTGCATCTGTAAACCCGCTCTTCAATAGTTTGAGCTTCAACTTCAAATCTTTAACCATTGCTCTCGTTATTAGTTTACTCCTGGTCGTTTGCTTGATATGGTCACGTCCAGATATGGAGCTCGATCCATACAGAATTGATGAATTTCAGCCCCTACACTTTGCTTATACGTGGTTTTAGTTCATTATCCCTTTTCGGGTCGAACACGGATCACGGTATTTGCACTTGAAATTTACGTGTAAGATCAATTTATAGCCGGGAATGCTTGATGCGTTGCGACTTGCGAGTTTGACGTCTCAAAGCTTTTGGACAAATGAAACGAGGTCGATCTGAAATCAGTTCTGCAATACTAATATTCTCATTACTTACTGTATAAAATGATGTCCTGTTGTACTCTTCATATTATTTTCTTCCACCTTGTTCCCACGTTGTATCTCTGCGTGAAGTTTTGTATGCGGTTGACCTAGAACTCGGACTTACTATACATATTGTAATAATAGAAATATAAAAAAGAAGAAGAAAGTATTATTCAATTCTAGAATTGAAGACTGATTATGGTCATTATAACCCATTTAAAAATGTCGATGCAGAAATATTTTATGGGAAAAGTGACAAAAAAGTCCTAAACCCTTTGCGTTGGTGTCAATTTAGTCATAAACCTTTTTTTGGTGCTAATTCAGTCTTAAACCTTTTACATTGATGCCAATTTAATCCTAAACCTTTTTTTGGTGCCAATTCAGTCCTAAACCTTTTGCATTTGTGCCAATTCAATCCTAAACTTTTTGTCTTTGTGCAAATTCAATCCTTCCGGCCAATTTTGGCCGGATTTTGCTTACGTGGATGCCGACCGTCACCGGCGCTGATGTGGACAGCTTTAATAATATTTAAATATTTTTTGAATTTTTATTTTATTTTTTTCCTTTTTTTCTTTTCTTTTTTTTTCCCCTCCCCTCCCTCTAGCCGCAATATTAAAATATTATTAAAGTTGTCCATGTCAGCGACAGTGACCGATCGGTCGGCGTCCACATCAACAAAATCCGACCAAAATTGGCCAGAAGGACTGAATTGGCACAAAGATAAAAGGTTTAGGACTAAATTGGCAACAATGCATAAGGTTTAGGACTGAATTGGCACCAATGCAAAAGGTTTAGGACTGAATTGGCACCAAAAAAAGGTTTATGACTAAATTGGCATAAATACAAAAGGTTTATGACTTTTTTGGCACTTTTCCCAATATTTTATAAGAAACACCCGCGTCGAAGTGTGGACTTTTCACCGGTATAAACAATAGAAGGGATTGCTGATGCTTGAATGATGAACAACATCTAACATGATACATCTTCAAGCTTTTCATTCGACGGATGTATCTATTTAAACTCAATGATCATGTGGGATTCGATCTTTTTCTTGGTTCATATGATCAATCTTTTTCGAGCTTATTCTTCCTTGTCTCTTCTTTTTAGGCTTTAACACACACGGACACACACATGTTAATATATTTATGAGAAAATTTCAAATAAGGGCCTGAAGTGCCCTCGTTTTCTTAAATAAGGATCTGAAGTGGACTTTATCTCAAATAAAGGCATGAAGTGCCCTCATTTTCTCAAATAAGGGCCTAAAATTGAATTTGTTTCAAATAAGGGTCTAAAGTGGCCATATCAGTATTAAATAAGGGTTTGACCTATCTGACCGAAGGGCCTTTTCGTCAATTACATTTTTTCCCTTTTTCTCTTTCTTTTTTCCGTTTTTTTCTTTTCCTTTTCTTTTTCCTTTTTTTTTGTCTCTTCCCTTCGCCGGCCATCGCTAATGGCCGGCAGAGGTCGCCAACCTCAGGCGAGGGTGCCCTCACCGGTGTCTGGAGGCGTTGAGCGAGGGGCCCCCTTGCCCGCCCAGCCCAAGCGAGGCCATCCTCGCTCGACTCCGGCGAGGGCGAGGATGGCCTCGCATGGGCTGGGTGGGCAAAGGCGACCCTTCCCAGATCTGGCGAGGGCAACCCTCGTCCATCCGCCGGGGCGAGGGCAACCCTTGCCCAACGCCGGCAAGGGCCACCCTCGCCCTCGCCAGGGCTAGCGAGGCCTGCGATAACTATTTAAAAATAGAGTTATTTTATCTACTTTAGGCAATAAATAATGCAATACTTGTTAGAATATATTTGGATTTCATTTTATTTACTTAATTTTTCCTTGTTTATGCAGAATATTGAAATATGGAGAAAATAAGGAAAATATGGCAAAGGCAAGGAAATGAATATACTACCCAGAGAAGAGGCAGAAGGTGGATATCATATTGGGAATCCTGCGATTTATTATCATATAAATAGGATAACTTGGGGGACAGCTAGTTTTTTCTTTAGATCGTTTTTGTTTTCATTGTTTTGATAGTTTTTCAAGTATTTTGAAGAGAAGACAAAAGTGGTGACAGAATTCTTGTTCTTTGACTCAAGATGTTTGGTTTAATTTATATTTTCGTTTCTTCTTATGTTATGTTCTAATTTTCTTTGTTAGAGCTACGATGTAGCCTAACCATGATGATATGAATTTCATACTTTTTATAGTTTGCAAGTGATTTCATTCATGTGAGTTATATATTATAGTGCTTAATGCCTTTAAGTGCCTAACCATCACTTGAATGATCTGATGTGCATGTTTGAGACTGAGAAGTGATAATATGCAATTTGTCCTTATAATATATAACCATGAATTAAATATGGATAGAACTATACCATGTTATTTGTGTAGCTTTCGATAATAAGGTGGTCCAAAAGATTCATTGTAAACCGAGAATATTCACAGATTTTAATGCACTTTTATTTATTTAAATTCACATAGAGATATAGTGAATTGATAAAGTGAGTAGGTTTGTTATACCTAGAGATATGATGGTAAATAGACTAGGAAATTCCGCTATTACATGTTTGATATTGTTTTTTTTTTGTAAGGTTTTACATGTTTGATATTGTTCTTGTATGCATAATGCTAAAATTCATATCTAGTGGTTATGGTGAAATCGGATGCTCTAGCATATTTTATCTGATTGATTATCTGCCTTTAGTTTTAAAATTTCTTTTTTAAAATTGTCAATTTTTATTTATTCTCAATTTTATTTTGATCTGTTAGATAAATTTTAGAATTAGCCTATTTTTAATATTTAATTGGTTTATTATCATCAATCTCTGTGGAACGATACTCTTCTCATCATTATATTACTTGTTCAACACACGTTTATTGACACATGCAGAATTTTACAAACAGCCTGGCGAGAGTTGCCCTCGCCGGATCTGGCGAGGGTGGCTCTTGCCAAGTTGTTTGTAAAATTCTGCAAGTGTCAACGAAGGTGTTGACTCACCAGCTCTTGCCCGCCCAGGCGAGGGCGACTCTCGCCCTCGCCCGCTCGGGCGAGGGCGGCCCTAGCCCGATGCCGACTTGGGCAGCCCTCACCTGAGGCTGGTGGAGGTGATGGCCAGGAAGGGAGAAGAAAAAAGAGAAAAGAAAAAAGAAAAGGAAAAGGAAAATCAAAAAATCAAAAAAATGTACTCAAATTTTTTTTTGACTAAAATACCCTTTCTCCGATGACGAAATAGTCACTGGCTAGCCAAAGGTCCTTATTTGAGACGATTTGGCTACTTTAGGCCCTTCTTTGAAACGATTTGGCCACTTTAGGCCTTTATTTGAAACAATGTCTATTTCATACCCCTTTTTGAAATTTTCCCTCTATTTATTAATAGTGGCAGACGTAGAAACTTAGACACGATCTGGAGACCGGAAGTTTTAGTGGCTAAGCATGCTCTAGTACTAATGTTTACATCCAGATTGCCAAAGCATAGCAATTTGCTTCATTCTAGTCAGTTTTTCTTCTCTTGCTTCACACGGCAATAGCCAAGTTAAGGATGGATACAAAACCCGGGGGAGTCCTTTCCAGACAACAGGCAACAAATCCGGATACTCATTTACACTTCATCTTAGATGATTTAATTGAAAGAATCAAGCAATTCCCAGAATATTGTCTCTTCTCATCTATGTACTACTAAAACTCCCGAAGAAAATAAGCAATTGCTGTAGAATTGAGCCGGACGGTGACATCTAGAAAGTTTCCTAACATCAAACTAGACAACCGTTGCTCAGGATCTCATGCTGTTTCAGAATTCAATGAGTGACCTTTAACCATAAATGGCTGGAACTCGCCAGGGCTCGTCATGAAGCAGTAAGAGCCACTTGAGCTTGCAGATTGCTCCACGTTCTTGATCTCTGCTAGTATGGTTATCGGGCGGTCGGGTATCGGAGGTACCGGCGAATCGCTTTCCAGGATCTTCACAACATGGTCCATAGTGGGCCTAGCATACACCACTGGATGAGAGCAAAGCACTGCCAACAGAACATACTTCTCCATCTCCTCCGGCGTGCCCATATTCGGTATCCCCTCATCAATTACGTCCAAAGGTCCGTTTCCCCTCACTAGGGACCAAGCCCTATCCACCAGGAGAGAGGCCTCGCCTTTTTCAACTGAAATAACCGCCTTCTTCCCGCTCAGTAGCTCTAGGAGCACGACTCCGAAGCTGTACACGTCACTCCTTTCCGACAACTGGCCGTACATTGCGTACTCAGGGGCCACGTACCCCAGGGTGCCGGCCACTCTGGTGCTCACGTGCGATTGGCCCTCGGGGGTGAACTTGGCGAGGCCAAAATCGGCAAGCTTCGCATCAAAAGCCTCGTCCAGGAGTATGTTGCTCGCTTTCACGTCCCGGTGGATTATAGTGGGCTGCGCACCATAGTGCAAGTAGGCCAACCCGCGTGCCGTCCCGAGGGCAATCTTCCGACGGGCAGGCCAACTCAGAGGCTTTTGTTCCTGCCCAAAGAGGTGGTCGAAGAGGCTCCCACTGTGCACCATTTCGCACACGAGGATTCGTTGGTGGCCTTCCATGGGGACGGTCGCGGTGCAGTAGCCCTTCAGTTCCACGAGATTGACATGCCGGACGCTGGCAATGACCTCTACCTCATGTGTGAACGCCTCATCGCCGGCGGCCGAGCAGTTCTTGAACCTCTTGAGGGCAACCTCTGACCCATCTGTCAACATTCCTCTGTACACATTCCCATATGCACCCCTCCCAATTATGTTGTCCCTAGAGAAGTTGTTTGTGGCCTTCCTGATTTCCTCAAGGGTGAACCTGACGACTCTGGCACTTGCATTCATCATCTGATTCATCTCCATTCCTGAACCAGCATTGCCTGATTCCATCTGGGCCAAGCTCTTTCTCATCCTCCTCTTCCTCCAATGCCATGTCCAGCACAGCCAAATCACAATCACCGTGCCGACGAAGCCGTTGGTGCAACCAGAGACGATTCCCCAGAAAACCACCCCATACTTCCGTTTCTTCTTCTTGTCTGCACTGAAATTGAGCGAAAACAAGCACTTGAGGTCCCCTGCATTGATCGGTCTGAACTGATCGGTGTATGCAGCCGCATAGACGAATGGATACCCGTAGCAGTCCGACTCGTTCCCGTTGTTAGGACCCCCAAAATACAACCCTTGCACGCGGGTCAAGCCATCTGTACACAACGTGCAGGCAGACTCGTCATCCAGGGACTGATTGCAATACTTCTGGACATCGCTCAGCTCGGTTCCTGACACGATCCTCTCGAAATCCGATCGGGTCGTGACATTTGCACATGTCTCAGACATGAGGTTGGTCTTGAAACCGCAGGTGGACCGGACATTAAACCCGGCAATCTTGGAATTGACAATGCTCTGGTACGCGTCCCAACAGGCCTCGGATGAGTTGGGAGGCGGGAAGAAGTACCCGGTGGTGCGGAGATACTCTGAGCGGACCAGCCGGATTGCCTGGAGCATGAAGCCACACTCGGTTGGGACGTCCAGCAGCAGGAGCGGCTGTGAGCTCTCGTTAATGAGCTTGCCGAGATAATCAAAGTTCAGTGGACAAGAAGGAGAAGCAGAAGAATCAGCAGCCTCCAATTCTCTCTTTGGGACTTCATATTCTGTGCGTCCTGAAGAGTCGACACAGGACAGGCTTGTGTTGAGCACCAGAACAAGAAACAGAAAGGCGAGCATTTGAGAGAGAGCATTTGAGAGCTTGGTTTCTTGATTAAAGGGTAGAGAGTAAACGCAAAGTTATGACCACCCACCAAGTTGGAATGTCATCCATCGACTATATCACTCTAGCTGATTGACAAATAAAAGAGTTTTAAAGAGGAGCATTTGTTGACCTTTTACAGGGTCAAGACTCAAAGAAGACGGTTTAAGCAAAATACCGGGGGGAAAGCGACTTGGAAGCAGCCAGAAAATTTGAGTCCACAAAAATTGTTATCCTTAGCTTCCAGTTACTTGGTGTATATTAGTTAGTGAATGTACCCGGTATATAATATTTCACCTGGTTGCAAATTTACACTGTCAGGACTTACTTTTAGTTTTATATATCATTTTCAGGGTTAATTCATTAGACAGATGAGGTCGTAGTATCGAGTTGAGCCACGTTCCCCAAGCCCACTCGGCTAGGACAAACCGGACCTTTCATTCCTCTCGAACCAGCGGCGTGATCTGAAAACACAAAATATGAACTGTGCAGAAACCGGACCAAGTTGGAACGGAAATTTTTACGTGCTTGAATGATTCAAACCTTTCCATTATGTTTCAACGGTCACGGTCAGGTTGCTTGCCACTAGCAGAGACATCGAAACACGAAACCAGGGAGCTGAAGACAAATCGCCAACCTAAATTGAAACGAACCATAAGATTAGAATCTCCATTAACTTTTGGGACGACCCCTTGTGTCCCGTTCCCAACTACATGCCCGAGATATTGTTCCCTTCTTTGTCTTAGTTTAGAATCCGCAACTTGGAGCGACTCCGGTAGAATCGAAGAATCAGGAAACTTCCCATCGAATCACGAAAGCCGGAGCGAGATTTCCTCGCCCGCCGCCAAGCGAAAGATCGATTGATAATTCTTTTGTGTCCTATAAGCGAAGCTTGCGGCATCGACCGTGTCTCCAAAACAATCACCAATGACGAAGGATCTCGAAAGCTAAACGCCGAAAAGTGGCTGATTCGAGGCTAGAACGCGGTGTGGCGGCTGGCCACGTTATAAACACCATCCGCCATAATGGAAATGGCCAAAAGTAAGCCGGATCAGAGAGACTGCAACTCTCTCCAATCACTAGCAGTGATTCCCCCATATAAATTATTGCCCCAGTTGCCAATGAAAGACACTAAGCTACAGCAGATCTCTATTGAGTCAAGGAAATCAAGAGGGGTCGGCCTCTCTTGACATTCTAGGGACGCTCTCTCGGGTCACCATCGAATCGAGCGGGGACCTCTGGCGACCATTCATTCCATATTATATTCGGTGTTATCCGATTCCGTTTCGTGGACGACGCGATGATGAAGGAATCGCTCGGGTGCGTCCGTGGACTTCCATCTCCCAAATGTCGTGATTTGTTTCCTGTTTTTTTATCAATGTTGACAGGCTAATTGCTTGGGGGTTGGTGCGTCCATTTCAAGGGGAAGGCTCCGATTTCCCCGTCATTGACTTCTCTTCTCTTTGCCTTCATTTGAAATTTGGACGCAAAGATGACGTAATAAAGCTTATTTTCCCCTGGCTCTTTTTAATATCTTGGGGATCTCCAGTGTTAGCTGATGATAGACTAATTTCCCGCCGGGCGTGTATGGTAATCCCTCCGGGAGGTGATCAATTCCAGGGTGAGCGGTTCCCACCTTAGAACCGGGAACCGGTCGAAATGTCCGCAACAAATTCATGCAGTTCATCAGTCCAACGCGGAGCAGTTCCCCTTCCTTTGCTGTGATCTTTTTGTGTATGTTTTTATTTTTATAGCTTTCTAGCAAGGCTGGCTTTGGAAGGAGTCTATTCAAAAGGTTGGGTCCTCTGGGTCATCCAAAGCACGTTCTCAATTTCCAGTACTCATCGCTCTCCAACATCAACCTTTTACAAAAATCAAATTCGAAATGGAACGATTGTTACCGGTAAACGTTATAGATAATGTCATTTGCCGTGGCCGATGTTTAGCCCCCATGGGAACCGCCGGTTCCGGGCCGGTCCAGTCTGGTTCCGGGCGGTTCCGAATTCTTTTGCACATCCGTAATCCCTCCGTCCCCCTGATCGGGCCTAATGATCATAGAATGCGCGGATTTATAGCTTTCTTTGCTTGAAGAATCGGTTATTTAGCATAATCGATGAGTAGAATTGGGTGGGGAGGGGTATGATACAGGGCCTAAAAATCCTTACAGAAGAGGTCAAACGATACAAAAGCAGTATTACATATTCTTCACAAAACGACAGGACACGGGCGTGCTCGGGCCTAAGCGTAAGTGACCCGAGTCGGCCAAGATGGAATATCATTGTCCAGACTTCCCCAAACTATGGTTTAGGTCTCTTTACAATAGAAATGTCTAAACTCAAGATCTCTCTCGCACGACAAATATGGTCGAGACGACTCGTCGCCGTGTCAACCAACCAGAGGTTAAGATGAGACATGAGTTGGGTACAAATGTTCTTCCTTCTTTCAATTTTTTTTGTAGTTTATACCAATTTTGGTAATGGAAAGGGAAACATATGTTCTCTCTTTGTACTTGAGAGACTAATTCAAGGCTTAGAAATGGAAAAATCTTAGTGACTCAAAAAAAGGAAAAGTCTGCTTAAGAACAAAGGACAGCCAGGTCATTTTGCTGTCAAAAATAGGAAGTTCAACTTAATGGGCGCTGAACTAGGAACATCCTTCCGAAGAAAAATCAACACCGCGATTTTCTTTTCCTTCTTTCTTTTATTGGGTTTCAGCAAAATTGAAAGAATATTGACTCTGACCAATCAAATGTTTCGAGATCTTGATCGGGTCTTCATCGGGAAAAGTCACAAAATCGCGACGCGCTGCGACTACGACGTCACGAAGCAATTTCATTTCATCAGTTTCATCTATGCATTCTTTTATCAAAAAAAAGAAAAGATTCATTATTGTAAAAATCTCCTCTGTGGGAAAAGAAGAAGAAGAAGAAAAGTTCATGGACATAATACTTGTGTTTTTGGGCCCATCATGATGGGTCGGGTCGGATCCGTAACAAACATGAAATGGGTGGGCCTGAGAATGAGGCAAAAGTGGAAATTCAGATATGAAACCTCAACTCAGCCCCACTCATCAATAAGTACATGACATAAAAGAAAGAAATGAAGCAGAAGATTTTAGCAAAAATAAAATTCCAACTTAATTGATCACCCAACTAAAAAAAAGGAGATTTTCCTCTCTAATCGACTTAAAACATATTGAGAAATATCTTAATTTTTGTATTTGATGGTTGAAATTCTGCTTTGATCTATGTAAGCGATAAATTGAGTGGAACGATGAAAATTCGTAAACTAACTTAGTGGGGCTAAAGAAAGAACCGCCATGATCACTTACGGGATTAGACATGAACACCATAATCAAATGAATCCGCGGATCATAAACTCAATGTGTAAACTATGGCTCCGTTTGCACTTTTGTTAATTCAGTCCTAAATCTTTCAATTTTGCTGATTAAGTCCTAAACATTTTCACATTTTGCCAATTGAATCCATCCGACCGATTTTGGCCAAAATTGGCTAACGTGGATGCTGGCCGTCCTATATGACATGGCTGGTGCTAATATAAATAATTTTAAATAATATTTTTCTATTCTTTTTCTTTTTCTTTTCTTTTCTCTCTTTTCTTTTTTTTTTTTTACTTGTGGCCGGTAAGGGTCGCTGGACCGTCAGAGGTTGCCAAATCTCGAGCTTGCGGCTGTCATGGCCACTCAAGCTCGAGATCCGGCAAACATGGCCACGAGTCGGGCTCGAGTAGCCATGGTCACGGCAGCCTCACCGGTTCGAGCCACCATGTAGTTTACAAAAACTCAATTTGTAAACTACATGCACGTATATTTTCCACAAGAAACCCTAATTTAACTGAGCAAATCCTTCGTTCATAAACCATACAACTTAATTAATCTCGCGGGTTAGTTGAAAAGCTAGCCTTAGAATCCGTGCGATCGCTCCCGCTTGAAATTATGGAGGGTCGGACACTTACCGCGCGATGCGGACTATCTAAAATAAGGCCGATTCTATGATTCTCAGGAGGTACCGCGCCCGATGTTTTAGGTAAAAAAAAAAAACAGAGGTTGAATGAGGGATGGAAAGCAACGTTCATCCTCCTTCGTACTCATGACTTGTTCCCATCAAATGGCAAATTTTAAAGAGAAAGAATGACAGATGCAACAAAGACCAACCGGCAAGTTGGGCCCATAAAAGCTATAAACGATTTTCACAGGACAGAGACGGTTCGCATACCTAACTTGCATAATTTTTGTTGCTGCTCGTGCTTCTAGCTCAGTCCCATAACGTGGGCAAGCTCAGTTCAGTCGGCAACCAAAAAAAGAAAATATAAAACAGAAATTATTATAGATCGTGTACGTCGCGCACGACTCTCTGTATTATCATTTACAGGGAATGTAAATACTAATTACTCGATCGTAGATGCCTCGTATGATACCGTGCTTCGCACGATTTAGTGAAAAGGTACAGTTTTCATCGACAATGGACGGAATACGAACTCGCCGATCTTGCCTTCGGATGCCGGGGCAGCGCCCGGTTTTTGCTTCGGCGTCGTTATCAGCTCTTAGCTTTGAACGGTGTCTTGCATGCCCCTTCGCCATCATACATGTCGGCAGAGGGATTGGACGACGCTCGCTCCCGCACGTTAGACACGACAAGACACGATCTTTCTGTACATGGTTGGGTCCATTTCATGTGTTGAATCGGTCATGCTGACATGGACCTTTGCCCTGCACTTTTGCACATGTTTGTACCATGCGCGTGCGTGTTTGCATATGCAATGTTCATCGCAAAATTGAAGAAATTATATTTGTGACATGACTTGTTTCCGTGAATCGTGTTAGCTAGATTAAAACGGGTGTGAGAGAGAGAGACAGCTCATTAATTGTATAGAATAGAGTATCGCCACGTGATGATCATGCATACTTACGTTAAATCTACAAGTGCTTTTATTTAGGTCGATTTTTATATCGCCAAATTTTACTAGCACTCACATGTACAATTTGTTTTTGTTGATTACATATTATGTGAACTATTTTGAACCTATCCATTGAGCAAAACTTGCCACATAGGATTCTCATATATA